ATATTTTAATTAAATATTTATATGTAAAATTTTTTTTTTTCATTTTATTTAAAATTTTTAATTATGTTTGTTTTTGTCATTTTTATTCCTTGTAGTTTTTTTTTTTTTTTAAATATGTCATATAGTTTTTATTCATTCTTATTTATTTTAGTACATCAAGTTAAACTAAATGCAAATAAGAAATGTTGCTTTGGCAGCTAGCTGAAATAAAATAAGTTTACATTTTTATATTTAATTTTATGAATTTTTACCTGATTTGCATATTTCCTTTAATTAAATACAGTGCTACAACAATGCAGATTGCATGTGAAAATAAACAACACTATCAGTGCAATTCATTTCTTAGAGAATTTCCCTGAGCTGACTGAAATACTTCAAAATGCTTAGTGCAAATCAAAGGAGCCTCACTTGCAGAATTTGAAGAGGATTTTCTCAAAGACCAAGACAGGTCCTGTGCTGCCCAGGATAGTGAGGGGCTGCCCAGCAAACAAAGAATACGCTATACCTGTCATAGAGGCTCCAAACAGAGACTCTATTGCACTCTATGAGAGAAATGGGAAAAACATACCATCAGTCACATCATAATCAACCCCTCTGCTTTGATATACGTTTTGCATATATAAACATGTTCTTACTATGCGTCCTTCCGTAGCTTCTCCTAGCAGACCTCCGAAGGTGATAACGGGAGACATGCAGGCGCAGTACAGGAAAAGGAAGGAGGCGAGACACTGCAGACTGACGGCATCTGTGTAATCTGACAGGTAGTGAGGAGCCTTACGCTTGATGTCCAGAATAAAACCACCAAAAAACCTGAAGATCCAAATAAAAGAACACCTCTGAGATCCAACTCCATCTCTGACATGAGGATTTACAGAATTCACAAATGCTAAAATATATGGACAGTACATATTTGCAGATTACTCACTTCCCTGTGCGCTGTAGCTCTGGTCCTCCGTGACCTCCGTGCTCCTCAGCCTCCCCCAGATCAGCCCCTCCATTGGCCAGAGGAGGAACCTTCCGTTTCTCCTGCAAGATGGTGACACAAAACCAACTTTAATACTGATCTCAGTTTTTATATTTTTTATACATAATTATATGTTTATATAATTATGTTTCTACTAATGTGGCTATAATAATAAAAAATTGAATTTCTGATTTATTTAAACATAAATAGAATAATGAAGACAACATGTTAAGTAAAAACAAATTAATAAATGAATATGTAATATAATTCATATATTTAGCAAAATGTTCCTCTCTAGTGTTCATTTTTCTAGCTGACTCTCGAGCTGACATTGACATTGAATGGTTTTCTTGAGGTAAATGTAACATTACGTGACATTGTTTACAAGCTGTTTTATTGGCTTCTTTCTGTTGTCATAATACTGCTTGAGTGATTACATGAAACATGATTACATGATACATGATTACATGATATATTTTAGTAAGTTGTACTATTTCTTTCAACATACCTTCTAATGTTCATTCATGTTTATATTGTTCTATATTATTAAGCAGTAAAAAGGAAAAAGGAAAAGATGATTGTTCAGTCAATAAATTCAGCCCTCGAAAACTGTTTCGTTCAAAACCGAAAATTCATTTTTGGCTGAATATTTTCAGTTTCTGATATTTCTGTGCATCACTAATTCCAGCATTCGTGATGAATCAGTGCATGGAGTTTGAGAACTGGGTCACCTGTGAGGGAACACTTTTGGGCGGCTCTATTCTGATGGTGGGATCCCACTCGCCTGGTGGCAGCACAGTCACCTGGTCCAAAAACTCATCAATCCCTGCCACAAGGTCAGAACGATCCTTTGCTTTATAAGCCACATCATGGAACACCTGGAGAAGAGACGTTCAGGTGAAATTAGCACACATAACAGCCTGCTACCTATAGTATTTCATAATGTATAGAAATAAACACAGTGTTGTCCATAGTACTGACCTCGTCTGTCATGAGCGTGGCGATAGAGCGGCCAATCTCGTGGTACTGAGGCCCTTTCCCCAAGGGCCCCATCAGAATGAAGAGAAACCTGCACAATGACAAAGGACTTAGTAGTGAACTCTGAGGCACACCGCTCCACAAAATTAACGACTTGAACGACTGAGACATTAATATGTTTCATGAGTTTTGTGCACAGATCTATCTGCTCTTACCTGGTGGTAATGGGGACCTCTGCCAGTCCGTTGAGCAGCACAGCAGGGGACAAACGGATGAAGGCCACCACAGGTTTTTCTAGAAACTCCAATTCACCCACCAAGATGTTGGATGCCTCAGCTCCTGGTGGGATCTTCTTCATGAAGTGGAGGTCTATCTGCAGGCACAAAAAATATGTTGTGATTCCTGAGTTGGCAAAGTTGATTTTTCAGTAGACATTACTCAAAACTTCAGAGTCACATGATCCTTCAGAAAGCATTCTAATATGATGATTTGAAGCTCAAGAAACTTACTGACCCCAAACTTTTGAACAGTAGTGTATGATTGTATATTTAAGTTCCAGAGTAAGATTTACTACTGTCTGGAATGTCATTCTTACTTTGCTGAAGTCAACAGCACTGTTCTCACGACTGCCATCCGCACGTCCTTCTGTTGTGGTGGGCTGAGCCTGAGGAGACACCATCTGACCTAGAAGTGGTGCAGCAATCATACCAAACAGAGGAAATAAATAACAGACCATCATATAACAGATTTGATAGTTTTGAAGAAAGACAGTGATGTTACAGTCATGGAGATAAAGACCTAGGCACATTTACTTGGTTAAAAAAAGTTGTAAGGAACATGTTAAGGAGGTCACTTACAAACCTCCTAGCATTGTCTAAATCTTATTCAAATTTAAAAACTAAATCTAGAAGTAGTGAAGAAACAATTAGATGAGGTTGCATATTTAAAAATCTACTACAAATCCCAGTACTACTTCCTACGTTGTTAAATGCTACTCTAACGCTAAGTTTATTGTTGGTTAGAGCATTGATATGGAATACCTAAAATTACTCTGAATAAACTGTTGCTAATTACCATGATAACATTTGCAAATCCACCATATTGGAAAAGCCAAGATCCGCCCATAAACCTATGCAACTAAACTGACATGGTATCATCCGACTATTGTATCTAGATATTCCATATCTATGCGTTAAGGTACAGTCACAGTCAGAGCTGTTCAGCGAATTTTCATGAGCAAAATCCAGTCAATTTAATAGGAATCCACATGCTCAGGAATTTCTTGTGAGGGCAAAAAAAATTCTCACACAGATGTCACATCAGATTTAAGTTGGTCACACAAATTCATTGCAGTGACCGATAGAAAGCTGCTTGGTTTGACAGTGACTTCTTTGTGAGCTGTGCTTCATACATTGCTACACTATTGAGAATGGACCTTTTTTGCTCTTAAAATTTCAATAATGTGACTGTGCCATTAGAGTACAGGCGAATCTATGATCATATTGCCTGATGGTGGCTCTTCTTCAGGGTCGAAGGTGGGAATGACGTGGTAGCCGTAATGCGAGCTTAGTTGTTTGCTGAAGGGGATGTGTTTTTTTTTTGGGCCGGACGAGGGGGGTATCTGGGGCAGGAGGGGCAGAAGGGCATGGGTGGGGTTTATGAGGAGCTGACAGACACTTGGGACAGCAGAGGGACCAGGCTGGACATAAGAGCACCTCTCTGTTTCTCACATTGTTGCTGAACCTAGACCAGAGAGAGGAGAAGGGACTGGGGAGCGAATGGGTCATGATGATAACTAGGACACACAGACAGACAGACACACCATCAAAAAGAAAAATAAGACAGATGCATGGCAAATGTAGAAGAATGCATTTGCTGGAGTATGTGGAGCAGTACCATTCTTATCCATTGAGTGCGGTTCGGACTGCTTCCTGCCGATATCTGCGAAAGAACGTACGATGGGGATCCGGTTAGCCAGTTTCTTCTGGTTCTGATGGTGGTGCTGTTTAAGGAGAGCATTTCGAATCTTCTTCCTCACCTCCTCTCCTAAAGAACATGACATCTCGTGCTGGTCCAAAACCATATCTTGAAAATAAAAAAAACAATAAATAAAGCAAATTATATGTGATATACACTACCAAATTCTTTTAAAGAAATTAAAACTTTTCAGCAAGGACATATTATATTGATCAAAAGTGACAGTAAATACATTTACACAATGCTACAGAAGATTTCTAGTTCAAATAAATGCTGTTCTTCTGATCTTTCTATTCACCAATGAATACTGAAAAATGTGAAGCAGCACAACTATTTTCAACATTGATAATAATTAGAAATGTTTCTTGATCACCACATCAGCAATTTATTCAAAATAGAAATCTTTTGTAACAATACAAGTCTTTACTGTCACATTTGATCAATTTAACATATACTTGCTGAATAAAAGTAAAAATAATTGCTTTAAAAAAAAAAAAAAGTACTGACCCCAAACTTTTGAACAGTAGTGTATATTGTAACAAAAGATTTCTATTTTGAATAAATGCTGTTCTTTTTATTCATCAAAGAGTCCTGTATCATAGATTCCAAAAAAATATTAAGCAGCACAACGGTTTCCAACATTGAGAATAAATCAGCATATTAGAAATGTTTTCAGTAGGATTGTAATAATATTTTACAGTATTACTATTTTACTTAAAATAGTATTTTTGATCAAATAAATGCAGCCTTGATAAGCATAAGACACTCATTTAGAAAACATTAAAAATCTTACTGGTGTGTCATTGATTGCTACTTTAACTAAAAAAAGGTTGAAAGAGAACCATCACAAACTCCTCTTCTGTTATGTTAAGAGTTGTTGGAATGCATTCGCATATTAGTCAAAAAACATGCACAGATTGTGAAAATCCAACCTAAAAAGTATATCAACAGCATCTGTGGCACATTATTTTCAATGTACTATCATTTGGGATGCAAAAATCTAATCTTGCATGCATTTAGGATGGACAGAATGCTAATTGGGACACATGCTGAATGGGCCTACTGTATATTGCTAACTGAAATGAGAAAAGAGCCAATCCTAGTAATTAAAATGCTGACTGCTTTTGATCCTTAAGGAAGGCAGATCTAGACTGGACAATGTTTTCAGACTCTACGATTAATTGTGATTAATCGCATCCAAAATAAAAGTTTGTGTTTACAAAATATATGTGCGTGTGCTGTGTGTATTATATGTAATACACATAAATGCATATACTGTATGTATAAATATGTATATATAAATAAACACACATACGTGTATATATTTAAGAAATATATGTAATATATTTATACATAATATAAATTACATATGGAAAAAAGAGTTCACATTGTATGCTTTACAAAAAAAAATTCTTAAATATATACATGCATGTGTGTATTTATATTCACATAATAAATATGCACAGTACACACACATATATTATGTAAACACAAACTTTTATTTTAAATGCGACTAATCGCGATTAATCGATTTGACAGCACTAACATTTTTATAACGATGATAAATTTCTCACAATTTTGTCCCTGTGTGTCCTCTGTGTGTAATTGTGTGTGTATTTGTACCTGGCCGTCTCTTTCCATTCTGCATCCTCTCCCTCTTTCAGGCAGATTTCGTCCAGCTCGGTGAAGAGAGCGTGAGGAATGTGTTCCTCGTCATCCTCCATTCCCAGCAGGAACTGTACACGCTGAGACGGCGTGTCTGCTACAGAGAAACAGAGAGAACTTTTATTTTTTATCTCTGTCCTTTTTCACTCCAAGTTTTCATTTATCCTGGTAGAGTGACAGACTTACTGTATGAAGGGGATTCTCTGCCATCCTCGGTTCCAGAGTCTCTCTCCCGTGACCTCTTCCTGTGGCGGTGTCCATGGTGACGATGCCGTCTGTGTGACCTCCGACCCAGAGGTACATGCACCCCAATGTAGAGGGTACGGTGGCCTGCCAGTGACAAACAGAAGAGGCCAGTTATCACAAAACATTCTAAACAAAATAGCTACAGAGCTCTTCAGTGATTACGTATTTTTGTAGGCCAACCTGGAGGTTCGCATCACCCTGGTTTATGGAAGAAAAATAATGACAAATGTCTTTGAAACAAAAAAGCATGTTGAATTGCACTAACTGTCTTGTTTTCAACATGCTTTTTTGTTTCAAAGACATTTGTCATTATTTTTTTTCCATACTGGTTCCTTCGACAAAAAGTCAATATGATTTTTCCATTGGCTACTGCAGAAAATGAGCTCTGTGACCAACAAAAGTGTATCATTCTTACACCTGTTGTTCATCAAGATAATAATCACACATGAACACAACTTATATAAGATTTTTTTTAAACAAGCTGGAAAATTTGAGGTAGAACAGTTTCTAAAGCGCAATTATAAACACAACAGGGCTGTGAAAGCGACCAGTCGGAAATCATGAGATTAATCATGATTTTTAATTCCTAGTTTTTATAACAGTGAGAAATAAAATTCTACAGTATTCTACATATAGTTCTGTCTGTGTGTGTGTGTGTGTGTATGTGTATGTGTATGTGTATGTGTATGTGTGTGTGTGTTTATATATATATATATATATATATATATAATGAGTGTTCACAGACTTTATTAAAACTACAGTCTAAAAATTAATCATTTCTTTTTGGAAACATGTCGTCTTAATCACTGTTACTGTCACTGGATGCTTTCAATTTTCCATGGAAGAAAGAAAAAGCCATGCTATTCTAAATCAACATGAGAGTGAGCAAATTATGACAAAATATTTTTTGGGGTGAACTGTTCCTTTAATGACAAACACTTCCTTTATTCCTTCATCTTAAAGTGTCTAGCGGATGTTCTGTTGTGCAAGATCCAATCTCTGCAGTCACATAATCAGATTCGGCAGTTCTGTACTTTGTGTTTCTGTTCTTGTTTACAGTCTCAGATTAAACTATAGCATTAAATATATCTCTCTCACACACTCTCTCGCCCTCCAGCTCTCTGAGTCTCTCTGAACTGAGATGCCTGACAGCCTGACAGTGTGTGTCTGTGGAGAGAGAGCACATATGTGTACTTGTGTGATTCCAGCTCTGTGCACTGACACAGAGAAGCAGGAGCCACAAAACAGCCCTTTACCTCAGGACTTAAGTGTGTGAAGCAGACAGATGGCGATCAAAGAAGAGCACGTGATCTCCATATAGAAATAAGGTCCATGCTGCCTGTGTCTTCTGAATCACCTCATCAGTTTTTAATACCACCATCGTCTCACTCTTTAGAGATACACACTCTAATGAGCTTTAGTTTCACTGGCTCACTCAGTTATGCAATTTAGCATCTAAATAAGTGATAAAGACATCCAGGGCCGAGACAAACACACACACGTGTGCTTTTATCTCATTACCTTCACTGATATCTTCCCCCAGCAGCCTTGAGGTAAGGGTTTGTGTGGCCATGTGGTAGTTCATACAAAGATTAATCACTTTCTTTTACATCAGTGAAACATCCTCTAAACACGAAATTCAGAGGACTTAGATATAATAATTAGAAATGTCCAAATTGTACTCTCAATTTTTGACAAAAAAGATTTAAAAGATGTATTTTCAGGCTGACCTGCCTTAGTCTCATTTCTGAAAATGGTACATAATTTATGGTAAAACAGATGGTTAAAGCTAGAAAGGATGAGGATGAAACAGAGAGGCTCTTCAGACACAGACACTCTCTGGCTCCAAGTGTGTGTGTGAAGGAGCTGGAATGAAATGTTTCTCTAAATGGAATATTTCCTCAGGACTAAGAACAGCTAATGTCAAACAGTGGATTTATTTCCTCTCTACTTCTCTGTTGTCTGAAAATTAGGGCACCATTCTACAAATGTTTGAGAGCTTGTGTTTAAAGCATGCCACATGTCTGCTGAAAGCAAATTTGGAGCTTCTGCAGCTAATAATGTTTAGAATCAACTTTATACCGCTTTAATAACTAATATTGGGATAGTAACTAAAAACTATAACCACAAGAACAAGAGAAAGCAACTCATTGCTATAGACTAGATAACATTAGCTTTCAAAATCCATCTAAAAACAACACAAATTTAGGCCTAAAAAAGAAATTGTACGGTTAATTTAATTAACAGACCTTCTTCTCAGTCAAATTCCTGAATCAACATACTGTATATAATAGTCATATGTAATAATTATTCAGCAGTCTTGAAAGTCCTGAGAAATTCACTTATTAATTTCTATGAATTTGTTGCAAAACCTTAGCTAAGGTTTAGAAGGTTTCTACTGCTTTAAGACTTCAGTTACATGCAACACAACAAAAAAACTAAAAATGGAATATTATAAATATATTGTGCTGATATAATAAATTTAAATGAATGTTTTTTTAAGCATAATTTTATTTTATTTTTTAAATATGAATTCATCAGGCAGTGTGTTTGACTCCCAGGTTAGAGTGTGTGTTTATTACCTTCCAGCTCCTCTTTCTCGAAATTCGTTTTGAGCACAGACCGAGTCCCACCTCTGTCCAGCACGGCTTCCTCATCGTTTCTCTGCAAAACACAACACTGTTATTAAACACACAGTTACACATACAAACTCCTGTTCTTTTATAGATGATAACTAACAGAAAACTCATCCAGCAATCCATTCTAATGAAATATGGCAAAGCATATGGCAAGCAGAACTTTACACATGTAAACACATAGACAGTACTGTTCAAAAGTTTGGGGTCTGTAATAATATTATTAACATATTTGTAAATGTAATTTATTCCTGAGATGCCAAAGCTGAGTTTTCAGCATCATTACTCCAGTCTTCACTGTCACATGATCCTTCAGTAATCATTCTATTATGCTGATTTGGTGCTCAAGAAACGCTGAAAACAGTTGGGCTGCTTAATATATTTGTGGAAACCCTGATCAACTTTTGATCAATTTAATGCATCCTTGCTAATAAAATTCTTTATTTATTTAAAATATATATTTTTTGTAAGATTATAAATGTTTTTATGAATTTACTCTTATTACATGCCACACTGAGGCCATAACAGACAGACCCTCTCATTCCCTCTCACACCACCATTGGATGACATCCCAAAATTAGCAGCCGTCTGCCAAACCTTAGCAGACAGCTTCCATGACAACTAACATGGCCTGCCGCTAGTTGTCCACAGAACATAAATGACATTGTTTTAGTCCCTTGTAAAGCCAAGGTCTCACTAGCCTGTGTCTCAGAATCCAGATCAGCCACAGTCCAGTATGGATGGAGTATTCATTCATACGCTTTAGCAGGGTAAACAACCACTCGCACATAATCGGCTGCACGTCTTTAGAGTAACATCTGGCTACGGCCTGCAGCAGAACCAAAGCAATTCATTTTAAAGGCATAGATGACTGTGAGATGATCCGCCTGTACCTGAGCGGAGAAAAAACAATGGCATTATGGATGGATGATATTAACATCGTTAATATCAAGGGACCTATCAAGAGAAGGACGAGATAGCGCACAGCGCAAAACACAGGTCTCTAGGAGCATTTAGGCCAAATAATATGTGGATCACATGGGAAGAGATTATCATTATGTGCTGGAGCATCCAACACATAGATATACTAGCTTCCCCCATGCTAGGCCACAACAGTGCATATATGAGGAAACGAGGAATCATACGGTTCCATGTGAAAGGAATGGTTCACCCAAAAATGAAAATTTGCTGTTAATTTACTCACCATCCAAGATATAGGTGGCTTTTTTTCTTGAGTAGAACAATAAAGAAGTTTTTTAGCTGAAACAGCGGCCCTTGGCAATTCATAAATTGAAAGTCAGAGGCTGCCCGTGTTTGAGAATAAAAAGCTTATCAAGCATATCACATCAAACTGAACATTATTTACATTATTACCTGTAATCCAGAGCTTCAGGCAAACGCTCCAGAGTGATGACTGGTTCGCGAACAAATCATTCTTTTGAACTGGTTCTTTTTAGTGAAATAGATTAATCAGTTTGGACTGAACTGTCTACAACAGTTCGCAGCTTGAGCAGCACAGATCTACAAGTTACTCAATCAAAACTTACTTTCGGACATGCCTGACAATCACTTCAACTCAAAATGAGTCAGTACCGGCATAACTGATCCTGTGATGCTGGTTTTGCCAACTCATTCAGTACTTACTCCAACAGTCACTGAAGTAAACTGAGTAAACAGTTCCGACTCAGACCAAAGAACAATGAGCCGGTGATATGTGCATACGAAAATAAAAGTTTGTATGGTTTCTCATTGTTTGTGTAAAAAGGTGAGCTGATCAAGACAAGTTTATTCACTTTATATGCTTTAGAATCAGAATCAGAAAGAGCTTTATTGCCAAGTATGTTTGGAAGTGCAGTCCCATGTTGACTGCATCATCCATGGACCTGTTTGCTCGGTAAGCAAACTGCAGGGGGTCAAGTAAGGGTCCAGTAATGTGCTTCAGATAAGCATGTAGCATGTAAAACATCCACGTTTCACATCATTAATGGGTGCTTTAATAATATAATTGTGTATATTACTGTACATCATTGCGTGACTACTTAAACGGCCTAGTGAATTGAACCAGTTCATATAAACTAACTCTTCAAAAGAACCAGTTCGTGGAAAAGAATAGTATTTTCCTGTTTGCCTGAGGCTCTGGATTACAGGTAATAATGTTGTAAATAATGTTCAGTTTCTTGCACAGACCGATCGCTTTGCTTCATAAGACCTCAATATATTGTCAGGAGCCACTGGTACTAATTTTGTTTTCCTTGATATTCTTTTTTTAATTCTCAAAGACAGGCAGCAGCTGACTGGCATTTTATGAATCACTAAGGACCACGGTTTCAGCTAAGAATTACGTAAATTAACATCAAATTTAAATTTTTGGGTGAACTATTCCTTTAACTCCGAAAACAGGTTCCTACATGGATGAAACACACATCACTCTTAATTTCTCTAGGTTATAGTGGTACTGATTAACTCCAACTCGATTTTTACATTCTCAGAAAAAAATGCTAACAGTGCTTGGGATGCAAAACTTGCCAGTAAAATGCTAAGGTGTTGTAAGTGGTTGCCAGGGCATTATTATGCGGTTGCTAAAGTGTATTGTGTGAGGTTTTTTGAACATTGCTATATCGCTTTGCTCAGGAGCTAATTAAACTGCGAATTCGGAGGACAACCCACGTCATCTCTATAGGAACTGTGCAATATTTAATATTGCGAGAGGGATTCGTTCCCCACATGATTTTCACACCAGATTCAATTGTGTGCACTTGAACGCGAATTCGCCGCATTGACCAATATTGACATGGACACTCAACCCACAAATCAACACTGAAGTTGTACTGATGTGACTGCCTCAAGAACAAGTTTTTAATTGCTTAGCTTTGTTAAGTGATTTTTAGTGAGTTGATATGCAATTACTATGCAGACTCAGGCCTGCACCAAATGCTCTAGTGTTAAAGTGCAAGATTAGTAACAGTGATGCTTGTCCAATAAAATAAACCATCTCAGAGCATCACTGCCAAGGTGAGTCATTTTCTTGAGCTGTGATGCATGCGTGTGTGTGTGGTTACACTCACACCTGCATAGAAATCATAAATGGGAATCCAGGGTGATCTATATAGATTACCATGGCAACTCAGCCCAGAAGGCTCATGGGAAGCTCCATTCAGTCTGCCTGTGATGTCATCAAAATGAGCCCTAATCTCTCCATCTTGTTCTTGGAGGAGAGATGAAGGACACGCGTGCACACAGATATTCTGATAACTCATCAACACGTCTGGCGCACACGTCATTAGTATGACACATAACGACATGGAGACATTGAGGGGGAAAAAAACTGTAGACAGTTTGTTTGATGGAGATAACACCTGTGCAAACATATGAAAACACACACACACACACACACACACATATGTTCGCGGCCCCTTGTGTGTTCTGACCTCCCTAATGAAAGCTAACAGTGTGTCCCGCAGGTCTAATAAGCAGCTTCCTGTCTGCAGCTGAGGTGTGACATTATATCTGAGATCCGCCTCATTCATCATCCCTAATCTTTCACACTTTGTTTCTGCTTTATCCTTTTCCTCTCTTTGTATTTCATTTTATGTCCTTCTGTCGTTCAGTCCCTCTCAGCCTAAGCAGTGCACAGAATCACATGACCACGGCTGCTCGTGTTTAATAATGATGAAGCAGATTCTCACATATGGAGTGTGGAGTGACACAGATTTACATACACACATGCAGCACAGGGGTGGGGGAGGGATTGGGGTCACTCTCACATGCTGGTTTCATACAGAGCAGAGCAATTTAGAACTTTATTTATTTTATTTTTATGTAAAAACTAGCGCTGCCGGTGTCACACGACTGCTGCAAGAATGAATGAAGGCACGACAAAAATAATAATGATAATCCACAAGATGAAGATGGTCTCACACACAGGGGTAACATCCAACAATACCGGACAACGTAAGGAACGAACGGGGAGTACTTATACTAACTCAAACAAGGGACTAATGACTAGATTAAAAGAACACAGGTGAACAGAATGAACTAATCAAAACATGAGGAAAAACTAGGTCAAGGGAAACATGAGGGAAGAAAACAAGCTGAAAGTCCATGTGGTGTGACAGCCAGTTGGTTTACATGAACAATTTGTGTATTTTTATTGTATATATATATATATATA